ATTTCTTTTGTCCATTGCTTTGAAGCTGACCTCTCAAGCACCCTAAGACTGGTCTGTAACTGTTATCTCAGATTTTTGAACCAAGTATTAATTGCAGAGTTGAAGCAAGGATCGTGCAATAATGATTTTTTTTTGTGAAAAGTCGAAATTGTTGATTATGACCATGTTGGTTTTTAACGGATTCGGCCTTATGAAGGATGGGGTTAATTCTAGTCGAACATTGCGATGAGTAGAAGACTAAGGGGGTTCGTTGGGTTTGGTACTTATTGGAATTCAGAGTTTCCAAATTGTTTTCTGCAGGGACGAATAAGGTGTAATTCGATAAGACTAGGTAGTTATTCAAGGACGCATGGAAGTCTATCGAAGGCAAAGGTTGCATGAAGATGAAGGCATGACATGTTTTGCTTAGTCGACCATTGTAGGCAGTTATTTTGGACTAGTATATAAGTAGACGCTTTCTTATGTTTTAGGGGTCCGCAATTGTACACAAATTCTACCAAACTCAAAGTGTCTATGTGGTTGAGAAAAGAGTCAAGAATGTATGTATGTGTTCCACTTTTTACAAATCAAAGTCTTTTTATTCATATCGTTTTATGCAATTAAACTAATCTGTCATTTTATTTTCAATTATTTGAACTTTGAGTCCAACATAGATTTTAATCATTATCTTCAAACTTTGCATTTCGACTTCAATGTCAAACTTATTTAAAATTCATAATTCACATAAATATGTCCTGGGATTTTTCGAGTTTAATCTCTTGAGTATTAATTGAAACTTGTTTTGTTTATTAAATTTCACAGTAAACAACAACACTACCTGTCCATATTATGAGTGAAAATCATCTTGAACCTCTCTAAAGCAAAAATATGCCACATACTTGTGGGCTGCTTAACAAAATCAGTCATATTCATCTTCGAGTGTACAAACTGACCCATATGGCTATGAAATGCTTCACATCACAATGTCGTTATTATTCCTGCAAAGAAATTTCCCCGAATATGAGTCGTTGCCCACATCTTCCTTTTTTGGTAAAATTCATTGATCCAACTGTTATATTCTAAACCAAACCTATCTACCATTTCATTCCACAAATTCTTGAAATTTCTAAGCATCATGATCACCAAGCATTATTTGGAAATAGGGATGAAATTGGGATTGCCAATGTTGGACATTGTATTTCGTAAGAGATGTCATGCACGTAACCTATTGTAACTGTTGGAAAGGATTTTCCTAATTGCATTTCTCATAGCAACATCATCGTCTGTTATTACAGATATTGGCCTTTTACCTTTCATTGCAACAAAAAATTACTCCAACAACCATACATATGTCCCTTCAACCTCATTTGAAACTATAGCAATAGCTAATATAATCGTCTGGTTATGGTGATTAACACTAGAAAAAACAAAAAAGGAACACTTGTACTTATTTTTATTGTATGTAGCATCGAAAGCAAGCACATCACCAAACAGTTCATAATTTTGTTAACTTTCACCATCGCTCCAAAATAGGTTTTTCATCGTTCCACCCAGACGTACTATGTGTGCAACAAACATCAATGGATCTTTAACACAGATCTATAAGATACCTAACAACACCTGTAGCTTCAGAAAACATCTCTTTCCTTTGTCTTAAAATTTGATTATGTACGTCCTTATTAAAAAATCCTACCTTATCATACCCTCGACAACATTTGCAAATGCACCAATCATTTGAGTTACTTTGATTCCAGCATTCCCAAAATTATCCATTTATATCTTATCTGACTTACTAAGCTTCTTATTAGCTACCAACAACATGCAATGCTTCTCCTTTAACATTCCGTGATTGTGCTCAAAGGTAAAAATTTTGACATACAAATGATGTGAAATTATATCAATATGCACCCAAATTTTTTCTCCAAATTCACAATGGGTTTCGTGCTTTGGACCATACTTGTACTACTTTATTTTGTCTTGTCTAAATCCTTCAAAGTTACAAATACATTTTTGTTGAATAACATCTCCATGCTTATTTTTAATAACTTGACCTTTATGGATCGCAAAATTGTTCATCTTTGCAAATCAACAGTAAAACGTGTAAGCAATTTCTAGACTTCCAAATTGCAGCTTCGAAACATCATCATCTTGCAAGTTAAACATGTACATCTTTAATGTCTTTAACATCATAAAAAACAAGTGATTTGTCCAGAATTTGATATGAAAATATCGATTCATTCAAACTGTCTGAACTTCATTTCAAACCTTCCCCTATCATTTCTATCGTTATTTGCATATGTATTCTAATATTTGTGTCCACCAACATCACCAGAACCAGTCTCATTATCGTATTCACCTCCATCAAATTCACCATCTTCACCTGCGTTTTCATCATCGTATTTATCTCCGTCAAATTCACCATCTTCATCTGTTTCTTCATCATCGTATTCAACTTCTTCATTCTTAGAATCTCATCAACAATTGTGTTATCATATTCAACAATATCCAAGCACTCATCACTAATAATATCCAGTTCACCATCAATGTTAACACGACCATTCTCATGTAAAATCTCGTCGAGTGCTTCCTATAAAAATATAAATAACTAAATTAATAAATCAGCAACAAAATGGGTTACAACTACAAAGCAGGATTGCTAAAAAATTTCACTTACATAGTTAACTTGCATCACTTCATGCCCATCAAAATCACCACCATCCATCTTCGATTCAATATCCCTGTGATTGCCATCAGATATAACTATTTTCAATCAATTTTTAACTCAAATTACAATAATTACAACAAGGAAGAATATGAATCCATTTTTAACTCAAAGTAAAAATTTATTTTTTGATTCACAAAAAAAAGCTTCAGATCTAAATCGTTAATGGAAGAAATGATCGAATTTGAAAGAAATGAAGAAGAAATGAGGAAGAAATTACACGAGAATATTTGAGGACCGAAAATGGAAGAAAGTAAAATGAAATAAATGATGAAAAAATTCCTTTTCTCAAGTTGCAGATGGAGACATGAAACAGAGAAATTTAAAAATAAAATAAATTGATGCTTCAAGAAAACCACGATACGAAATTGTTGAACGTGAGATGGCCATGGGAGACTTTGGTTCCAAACAAACGCTTAAGTGGTGTCATAATTGATATAAATTATCTATACCTATATATAAATGCAAAACATGATTTTGGTGTAGCCTTTTTTCTTTCCAAATATACCCTTTTCAATTTTTTTTTAAATCTCAACTTCTCTTTCTAATAAATGGTGGTTATTTAATTATTTATTAACTTTTACATCATTATCTATTATTACTATTTTATAAATAATAAATAAATAAAATAAAAATAAAAATAATAATACGATTTATATTTTACACGCGTGGACATTATAAAAAACGGACAGACGGACGGACACCCATTAAAAGCAGACAGATGGGCACGTGGGTGCCCGTCAATCCAACTATTTCTATTGATTTGAAAAGAAAAGAAAAAAAAAGATATTACTCATATAAGAGACGTAAGAGACCTATGCTCCATGTACATACTTTCATATCTACAATTGGAAAAAAATTCCGTACTGGATTCTATACTGGTATCAATATTGACACCCATACCCGTATCCTGTAACTATGTAAGTGCCCGTACCCATATCAATTATCCGTATTTTTAATAAAAATAAATATATCAAGTATAAAATATCATATTATTTTAACTTAAAAAAAAATTAAAAATTTATGGTTGAATTATGAAATAAATAATCACTTATATTAAATATACAGTAGTTTAAAATCGATGTTTTTTTTAAAATTTATAAACACTTATTATTATATAATATTATAAATTACAATGTATAAATATATATTGTATGGGTACGAGATATGATGAATACTAAAGTGTCGATCTCCACATTTATTCCTATTTATTTAAGTGAATAATTACTTAAATTTTGATCTGTATCTATTTTTACAAATTTTTACCTATTCGAGTAATTTTGTAAATACCAGCCAAATTGTCATCCAATAGCACCATGGATTAATGCATTAACATCGAAAGCGAGTCACTGTTGACGACACTTTGTGCAATATATATAGCCTTTACTATATTAATTAATCTTATATACTGGTTTGTTAAAAGCGAAAAAAAGCCTAATAGAAAGATAGTTATCCGAATCCTATGATTTGAGAGACAAGCTTAAAGTTTCAAGTCTCCCTCGCAAATCACAATAAAACAAAATTTCTGTACTTGCTGGCCCCACAAAAACCGGCGCGTGAAGAAGAGCGTGAACAAAACAAAGAGCGTGAAGTTTACGATAACTGTTTTCCAAACTATTTTTTCCTCTACTCCCCACTCTGACACAGCGAGAGAGTAACTCGAGAACCGAGCAACCAAGAAGAAGAAGAACCTCTCTAGGGTTTCACTCTCTTCACATTTTCCATTTCCACTTCAACATTTTCGGTAACTCCACTCTCTCCCCTTCACACTAATCTCATGTGTTTAGTTTTACGCTAACAAATTTTGATTTTAATTTTAATTTTGATTTTTTTTCATCATTGAAGTTTCTGTAGTTCGTACATTTCAGTGGTTATTTATTGCTATGGTTGGTTAGTTAGTTCGTTAATGCTGGTTTTTGTTTTCACAGTAGCTCGCATTTAATGGTGTTTGACCAGAATCTCTGCATTATTTTCTTCTGTTAAGTTGCTTTGTTTTCAAAGTACTACTACTTGTAGATCTAGAATTTTCCGAGTTCAAAATGAAACTTGAAGGAAAATGGAAAAGGAAGTTGGTGTAGTGGAGTTTGTTTACAAGGAGTTTCTTTGAAGGGATTGTTATATACATTTTTGTTTGTTGCTTTTTTCTTTTTGTTGAATGTTGATTTGTTGGAATCATTAGCTACTAACAATTGCTTTTTCTAGTACTATATAATGAGTTAATCAAGTTCCTTTTTTATTTTATTTTATTTCTTAATCCTAGATTCTTTCTTGTTGCAGGAATAGAAGGAGATATTAAGTTATGCAGACACCAAAAGCAAGGTAAGATTGTAGTTTCTTGATTTTAACAGTTTTTATGCATATAGATTATTCTGTATCTATTGTATTCTGTATGTTTGTTAAAACAAGCTTGCGAAGGGGTTATTTATGTTCAGTGTAGATTTGATTTCTTTAAAAGAAGTTCTCCCTCTATATTTCATTCCAAGATCAAGTAAGATTGTGGGGTCCCGTGTTTTTGTTTCATTTACTTGAAGTTTGAAAATGTGATGATATTCGGCTTGTATCGTGTGTATGAATGAATGGAGGTGATTGAAAAATAGTGTTGCATAGCGTCTTCCATTTGATTGATTATTATCCTCACTGGACCACTTATGCGTGCTATCTGAGGATGACTATGATTCGCATTTTTTTATGCATTTGTTTTGTTTATGCATGCTAATTTGTTTATGGATGACAGAGTTAGTGCTTCAGAAATGTCACAAAGGAAATCTCCTGCAACCCCTCGAACTGCTCGCCAGTTGAAGACACCAAACTCTGGTTCTAACTCAGCCTCCTCCTCTCCAAACCCCATAAGAAAGATGCCAAAAGACATGAGTCCGAAAGTTAATGAACGCAGGTTATCACACAGTCCAATATCTGAGGTATTTCGAATTATCTCACTACTAGATCTGAATCAGCTGCTTTAATTCGATTTGTCTTAAGGAGCTACTGTTGCTAATGACTATCTCCTTGATGATAGATACTACTCCCTCTGTTTTCTTTGTCGTTTCAAAATTATTTCCACTTACAAATCAATAATCATTGTTACTTTTGATGAAATTATTTGTCTCTCTTTGCAATAATTAATGTTGCATTGAACTTTAATAGACACAAGTACAAGGAACATAAATTTTTACATAAGAGACGTAATTCTTTTTAAGTTCTTCACATACCTTACAGAATTTTTTTTTTAAGTTCTTCATATACTATCTTTATCTATATGCATACACATAATCCAAAATCTTTATAATATTCATAATTATATTTAATTATTGTCTCTGTAATGTGTCTTTTATCTGGCTTTAGAAGAAGCGACCTAGCAAGGTTCAGGAATTGGAATCTCAGATTGCTAAGCTTCAAGAAGATCTGAAAAGTGCTAAGGATCAACTTAGCACATCGGAGTCATGGAAGAGAAAAGCTGAAGAGGAGATTGAAGAAGCAAAGAAGCAGATACTATCTTTGTCAAAGGAGCTGGAGGAATCCCATCAACAGTTTTCGGAACTCTCCGCTTCCGATGAAGCGCGGCTTCAAGAACTAAGTAAAATATCTCAGGATCGAGATCGAGCATGGCAGTCTGAACTGGAGGCTGTCCAGAAGCAGCACTCAATGGATTCATCTGCACTGGCGTCTGCCATTAATGAAATACAGAAATTGAAAAGTCAACTAGAAAGAGCATGTGAGTCCGAATCTACTCAAAATAACAATGCTGAGATTCAGGACTTGAGGATGGATCTTAGTGAAGCTATCTCTATTATGGAAAAACTAAAAAATGAGGCTAGTGATTGCAAAGATTCCGAATCTCGAGCCTTAGAAGTAATTGGCAAAATGCAAATGCAATTGGAAACAGTAAATAAGACGGTGGAAACCCTTCGATCGGATGGTGTAAAAGCAGCAGAAGCTTACAGGTCCCTGACTTTGGAGTTAGAGCAATCAAGAACTCAAGCAAAATCCTTGGAGGAGCTTGTGAGGAAACTTGAGACTGATTCAACCAATGAAAATAGACTTTATCATGAAAATGAGGAGATAAACGAGCTGAAAGGCGAACTTTTCTCTGCTAAATCTGAAGTAGGGCAGTTGAAGTCTGCATTGGAAGTTGCGGAGATAAGATACCAAGAGGAGTATATCCAGAGCACACTGCAGATTAGAAGTGCTTACGAACAACTTGAACGTACAAAATCAGAGTCCTGTCAGAGAGAGGCTGAATTGTACGAGGAATTGAGGAAAGCTAGAGCTGATATTGAAGAGCTCAACACAAGTTTGAAGGAAAAGGAATCTCAATTGCTGATTATGTCAGCAGAGAACAAGGGACTTGATGAAAACAAATTGGCTGATAGGGAATTTAAACTTGCAGAAGAGCTCAAAAAATTGGATACTGATATTGTGGAGTGGAAGGAAAAATTATTAGATAGAGAGACCGAGTTGAAAAACGTAACTGAAGAAAACAGTATGCTTAAGATGGAGATAAAGGAGTTGGAGAAGAATAAAGTCACCGATGAGGCTGTTGCATCTGTTGAGACAGCAAGGGCTGCGGAGCAAGAGGCTTTGACGAAACTTAGCTATGTAATGGAAGAAGCGGATAAAAGTAACAGAAGAGTGGCCCGTGTAACCGAACAGTTAGATGCTTCTCAGGCTGCAAATTCGGAGTTAGAAGCTGAATTAAGGAGATTGAAAGTTCAGTCTGATCAGTGGAGAAAGGCTGCTGAAGCAGCCGCATCCATACTTTCTACCACAGGAAACAATGGCAAACGCGTAGGTAAAAACGGCTCACTTGACAGTAGCTTCAATTCAATTTCTAGCAAGACAATGAATTCACCTTATTTAGAAGACACAGATGATGAGTCCCCAAAAAAGAAAAATACAAACATGCTGAAGAAGATTGGAGTGTTATGGAGGAAGAATCATCATTAAGCTGTTAACCTGTATGCTGTTTTGTTGTGCTCTTTATTCTTATTGGATATTGTTATTTTTGTTAGGGATTATTAGTTGGTACCAACTTTGAGTTATGACCATTTAGTTCCTCCTGACAATGAAATGGAGCAATGTATTAATGCTAATGATGTTGTCAATCTGTTCGACTATTATAGGACTTACTGTATTTGTTTTAACGAGGAAGTTCTATGTTTTCAATTAAAATCTGAGTCTATAATAGTGGTTTGACTTTGCAATTTGCAACCTTTTGAAAGACAATACAATGCAATCAACTTTTTTTTTTTGGTGAATTGTGATAGTTCAAGATTCACCAAAACAACTTAATTAGATATAAAATATGAACATGTAACGGAAATTTCTTCCTTAACCAAAAACAACACTGCTGGTCATAGTTAATATAATGCAGACTTTATCACTAAAAGTTAATGCAATGAAAGAGAAAAAAAAAACACAAGCACAGTTGATCATCTAGTTAGATCACAAGGTGCAATGAGAATTTGATCACCAATAATAGTTTGAAAATTTATAAAATTTTAGCTTTGGTCTTATCAGACTGTTTTTGTTGGTTTGGAATATCTTGAATTTGGGGAGTTTATTGTTTTGGCCTAGTTTAGTGTGGATTTTGTTTCTCTCTTGGCATGGCTCATGCCTAGACTCTCTTCTTTTCTTAATAATTTTTGCCTTTTTCAAAAAGAAAATATTGAACACTAAAACTTGTTAAACACTCGATGTGCCATTATTTACCGGGTGCCACGGGAAAAGCTATTAAAATTTAAGAAAGAGTGCCTAACGCAATTAATATATAAAAAATAGTGATTAATATTTGTTAATAGATCAACACACTTTGGATGGTGTAAACTTAAGATTCTTGGAAAACAAGTAGGGATGACATTAAGGGAGACTTTATGAGAGTTATGTCTGAGTTTTATACTTGTAAAAATGATAAATTATTCTTGGATTTGGGGAACAAATTAAAAGATAAATAAGCAAAAAAATTTAAAAATTGTGTTATGAATTTAATACAAATGAGTAATTAATAAGTTTATTGTTTTTTTTTAAATTTTTATTTATAAGTTTTTTAACTTGTGTCCCAAAGACATGTTAGTATTATCCATTGTTGTTTAATGACTCTGATCAAAGAATAAATTCAATAAACATGTTTGATTTTAAACTAATATTTATGGTTAAATGTGTTAGATAATACTCGTCTTTTTCTACGTGAATACCTAATGTTAATAAATTTAATACTGTCTCTACGTGAATACCTAATGTTAATAAATTTAATACTGTCTAACACATTCAACCAGAAATATTATATAACATTTTCTATGTCTGATTCTAAGGGTAATTTAGTCTTTCCATACTTTTGTTATTTCTAATTAAATTTTTATCACTTTCTCTTCTCTCTTTCTATATGAATACCTAATGTTAATAAATCTCTAATGTTAATATAAAATCAAAGAGATTAGTTGATTCTATGAGGACTTTGGATGTTTGATGATAACTCTTACTTAATTATTATAATAAGGTTCAATTTGTTCTCTTATTCAATTTATAACATTAATTATATTTTCATGATTCTATCTCTTTTCTTTTAAACCTTATTCTTGTAATTTCAATTTTTGATTGTTGATTAACACATAAAAATTGTTATTGCTCTAATCTATTTTAATATAATCAGTTTATGCTTTCAAACTTGAATCAATATTATTTGAATTAATCTAAATAGTTGTTGTTTTAGTATTAATAGGGTTTGTTAGAATTTATCACGGTAGTTATAGGGTTTGATTGAATTCAATTTCTAAATTAGTTATATTTTTGTAACGGTTGTGGAAGAATTTCAAGTAATCATAATCTATAACGGTTTAACAATTGTAACATGTCTCGCTAAGAATTCATATAAGATTTATCATTGGTTAATAGGTTAGTCTTAAAATCAAACAGGATTAGAATCATAAAATGAAACAATTCTTTAAATGGGTGATATATCCCATGAACATCGTCATAATCATTGAATTAATGTTTTAATTTGATTATTAATTTTGTTAAATTGCTCATTGTTTTCCAATAACAAAACCCACCAAATTTACATTATTATTTCTATTCTTATTTTAGTTATTATCAATTCAGTGGTTCTTGAGACGATCAAGGTTAATTACCTTGCATTTTATTTTCCAAATTATTTTGATCGCAGTCGACAACGACCAAATTGGCACCATTGTTGGATCCTCTGTTTAGGGATAGTCAATAAAAGAACCTACTAACAACTCTAACAACCATTCTTTTTCTGTTTTATTGTTGTGTTTCAGGTCATTCATTTTTTAGTCGTTTTCGTCATTCATTGTATCAAATTCCAAAGTCAAATCATATATTGAAGCTTTAAAAAATATTGATTTTCAATCAACTACTTTGATTGCTATGAAATTTGGTGACAAACTCTTGAAAAAATCAAGGAGTAATACTTTCATAAATGAAAGACAACACTATAACTTTGAAATTCCTTAGTTTTTAGAACTTTTTTTATTTTTATTTTTAATTTTCTATATTTTCAAAAAATAAGAAAAAACTAAATTTTATATTTAGTTTATTTTTATAACACTTTAGATAATATTTTTAATTATATTTGATAGGGTTTTGCATTTTTACTTTGTTTTTAGAATTAAGGACATTGTCATTATTTTCTTAATTGATAGTTTTTTTCTTTTATTTTTTACCATCATGCATGACTACATCCAACCTTAAAGTTTTGCATTCTTTTGATCCTAAGATATTAATAAATATATATTCACTTAATACTCAGCAAGGCACGCAATAGTAACAACATAGGTGATCATTCAGAAGAATCTGATATTGAAAATAATAGCATCTATTTTCATACAATTTGTAATTCGGAATCTAAATATTATGATTTTGTTAATAACAACATGGCTGGTAGGACTCTTAGTGAGCTTGATGCTCGAGATGCTACTTACAATGCACTGTATATCGATGTTACACCTCAATTTTGATCCTGAATCATCGAATCAGTACATTCACTATGACATTAACATCATCTACATAACATAACATGTATTTCATGCCGCATAATGCCTAAAATATTGACCGAGATAACTTTTTGATCTAAAGACAGATCGGTCAAACTAATTCTCAAATGTACATAAAATTAGCGGGCGAAAAATTTCAAAATCGAGCTTGTAGACGTCAATTTTATTAATCTATGGTTCGCGTAGTTTAACCTGGTGTGTTTGTTTTATTTTTTTGACTACTTTTTTAGTCACATTTTGATCAGCTCGAGCCCTTTTACGGATCATGTTTTATTTCAAAATTTGATCAAAACTTGTATGTTTTCGAGAAGTTTATTGTGTGCTGATCATTTTGGTGCATTCATCTTTATTTTCTGGGCACTTTTGCACCCGATTTTTATTCATCTTTAACGCTTTTATTTTATTTTTCTTTTGTCAACATATTCAGAAAAATTAATTAGAACTTTTCATATCTTCATTTCTTATTGTGTTTATTTTAAAAGATGTGATTTATTTAGTTGATTTAATTAATTTAAGTCAATTTTAATCAAGTAAAGTTTCTAGAAAGGACATTCTAGATATTTTTAAAATTGATTAGCATTTGTGTTTCTTTGATTTAATATTGACCATCGAATTCGAGTTAATCAAAGACTCATGTTCGCAATCCATATGCATTTTATCATTCAATCAAAAAATAGCAATTAATTGAATAATATTAATAATGAAAAAAAATTAGAAAAATAAAATAATATCTAAATCCCTCCATTGAGGCGTAGCCACGTGCCATCACCAATTGGGAGGAAACAAAAAAGGGTTTTGTTGCACGGATTAGCTGGCAAGGAAAATACACCCACTCTGTGTTTTGAAGGAGTCTTTTTTCTCTGAACCTACAACAACCAAAAAATAATCCTCTTATTCTTCAACCTTTTTTGAACCACCCTCCTCTACCAACCATAAGTTTTGGTCGGTCACACCTCAACAAACTCCACCAAAACTGTTCTCTCAGCCACCGTAAAACAACCACAACCGCACCACAAGGAAATGTAAAACCACCATTTCTTCTTTCAAACATCCTATCTGTAACTTACTACTCCTTCACTCCCACATGATTCAAACCACGTCGTCGTTCCTCTCTGCTCCGACCAAACAACCTCCATATCCCTTCGTCTGTTTCACTATTTCATGAGTTTTATATCATGTTGGTTCTCTACAATAGTTTCACACTTAAATGTCCATCCGACAAAGTGGTTTTTCACGCATCAGAGCCCAGAACATCAACAACACACAATGACACAGCTCAAACAATAATTTTGCAACACAATACGAACTCATAAGCTCATTTTAATTTGTTTCTATAACTCAACTCAGCATACGATGCAACACATAATCAACAACAAAATTTTATGGCCAACACCAACAACAACTCGACATTTTCGGTAACAATTAATGTTGTGTTTGCCTTGATCTTGTGTTGCCTGTTATTGTGTTCAATATTCTAATTTTTGGTTTACATTGTAATGTTGTTTTTCATTTTGAGTTGTGCTGCTACAGTAATTGAGATGTGTTATTGTTTCATGTTGCATTTTAATACTGTGATAAATTCATGAGCATTATGCATATTGAATCGCCTTGGCTTAATCTTGCAAAGTTGTTTTTGTTTCATGCTGCATTTTCAATACCGTGGTAAATTCATGAGCCTTGTGCATATTGAATCGCCTTGGCTTAATCTCACAATTTTGTTGTTGTTTCATGCTACAACCCAATCTAAATTTAACAAATCTTAACGTAAGATTTAATGGGTAACAACAAGTCGTTGATTTGGATGTGTATGCAACATTTTGTGACAATGTTGACTATTACATATTGAGGGTTGAGTTTTTTCAAACTCTTAATGAAGTTCTATATCAAGGATATGTATCTCAAGAAATAGATACAAAATGAACTTCACCTATATGG